TTTCACATTCATTTTTCCTAACGGGACAATAAGGATGGTGAACATGTACTGAATTCTGCTATGTGATCTACAAGGTTCTGAGATGTTAACCCATTTCATGCTCACAAAATCCCTGTGAGGTGGGTGCTACAGTTATCCCCATCTCAGAGATGAGTAAACTGGGGTGCAGAGAGGTTAAATTAATTGCACAGAATCATGCCATCTCTGGAGAAGGAAATGGCAACCCACTCCAGTATTCTTGCCTGGGAAATCCTATGGACAGAGGAGCCTGGTGGGCTATAGCCCATGGGATCGCAAAGAGTCAGACATGACTGAGTGACTAAACAACAAAAATGCCATCTCTATGTACTAAGTTGGCTGACTCGTCATCTTTGGGGCATCCATAGATCACAGAATAATATACTCAGAAAAAGAGGACTTGGATTTGAGTTGACAATTAATGCACCTTTGGAGAGTCTAGACCAACCCAAAGAGGTGTCCTCCTGTTTTGCCAGTGCAAGGCTGCCCCTCCCAGGATCCTCTGTGCTCTATGCATGTGTCTCTCCTGGAACAGAAAGGGTTAAGTTGACCCACAACCCTCAGGACCCTGAGACATTTTCCTTCTGGGCCACATATGTAGATGGGCTCTGAAGACGAACCTCTCTCCTCCTTGGAAATCATGAATTTTTATGAAGCCAGCCCAGAATTCCCAGAATTCAGCCGGGTGCACTTTGCAGACCCTAAAATGCTGTCACCATGGAAGGTTTCATTGCTTGCACCTGCTAAAACATTTGAGGCATTTGAGAGGCAGTGAAACACATTTGCTTTTCATTTTATCTGACTTTGGAAACCTTTGAAGTGTTTAATAGTAGAGCCCAGGAAAGATCCCCGCCTCTTAATCATTTACTGGTAAGTCACATTCTCGGCTGGTAGCCTGTCAAGCAGAAACTGACCTGAGCCCAGTTTTATTAAGTGTCACATGCCCAGTCACTGTTCATTAAAGGTGTTTTAAGGTTTGAATTATGTAATTTATGAGAAAAAGAAATAAAAATTCCATTGTTTTATTAATATGCAGCCCAAGATCTCTCTCTCATAACAAATGAAGGAAAGTTGGGTGAAAGGATTGGAGGGGGTGATGGAGGTGGCCTTCCATTCTCTGGCCTTCCTTGGCCCCTAGCACCCCCACGTCTACTGCACCCAACCCCAGGCAGGAGCCTGGCGAGTAGCCAGCACTCTGGGAAGGCAGCCATCTCAACCTGTCTTCCTGTGTCCTCTGCCTGAGACCTGATGACAAAGCAGCCACCTTCTTCCTCTTTCCAGCTCTTCTGTCTCTTTTCCAGCAAGGCAGGAAAAAGCATTTCTGGACTGACCCGGGGTGATGGGGTGAGTCACAGTCATTGAGAACTAATGTCCCTTGCTTTCAGGAGAGCTGGGAGAGGGTGCAGTGCTGGGCATACAGCCACCTCCTCCAGGCAAATGATTTCATTGGATCCTCACCTTACCTAAAGGAAAGGGGAGCCAAGGTGGGATCCCTGGGCTGCACTTGTCCTTTTGTCTCTGCAACCGAGGGCATCCTTAGCCCAGCTCAGCCTTCTTGGAATCATTCAGCTGGGCAGTCCGGAGGAGGGGCTGGACTGGACCAGGCAGCTTGTGCCTTCTCTGAACTTGGGCTCTGTGCACAGGCCCAGCAAAGTTAAGGTGCAAGGTAGAGCCTTCACGAAGGACATTTTTCTCCCGCAGATTCTCAATTTAACATCAGAGCGCTTGTAAGTCTAGGCCCATTGAAGGCTCTGCATGCGGGGTTACTCTGGGTGGGGTCTCCCTTATCTGACACGGTGGGACCTCTGCTTCTTCTTAGACCCCCAGTCTGCTCCCTGGCATCTCAACAAAGATGAGGGAGCCAGCCCTGCCTGCCCTGGGGTATGGTGGCTTTGAATTCCTCCGGGGTTGTTCGCCTGTGTGCATCTCCCTGTGATCAACCCAAAAAAGTGCCAACAGGGGAAAAGTCATTTTCCCAAATGTGGACAGCCCAGAATATTGAGACTGTGATTAGGGTTTGAAAGATGATGCAACTGAAGGTATTTCTCTCCCCTCATATGCTCCCCCTGACCACCAACTTTCCCCACAGGAAAAAAATTGTGAACTTGATTTTACTTTTGAAATTGATTTTCTTAATCAAGTGACTCATGTGTTTACAGGTGCAAAGTTGCACCTGACTTTGCCCCCTTGGTTCAAATTTGTGAGTTTTTAATTCTGAAAGGGGATCTCAGGTGCTAAGGCTTTCTAAGACATCTCACAGGAATGGTGTAGAGTTTTGAGAACAAGGACCTTTTAAAATCTGGGTGGAGAGGGGGCAGGGCATGGCAAGAGCTGAATGAACTCCTGTTTGGGAAGCTCCCAGCCAAGGCAGAAAACGAAAGGCCCTGTTTGAAAGAAGAGTGTTGGTGGGCCAGGTTTTGCAAACGGACCGTCAATCATTAACCCACTTAATTTTGAATTACCGATTCCACTGATATTTCACTAGCTGGCTGCTGGCGACCTGAACTGTAGGGGCTGTTGTCTTTGATCTGCCAGGCCAATTTCCATTAGCAGTAAAACCACAGACCTCTGCTGGGCCACAGGCCAGCGAGTTCTAACATCTCCCAGTGTCTTGGAGGAGCTCTGAACTGCTGGTCCCAATGCAGAGAGAGCCTTGGGTAGAGTCTCCAGAAGCAGTCATTCCAAATCAATCAGCTCATTAATTTTGCACAATTTTTAGTTCTGCAGTAGGCACTGGGAAGCAGAGAGAACTGACTTATTTCAGACAGTCAAAGAGACAGGGTGTCAGTACATAGGGTTCAATACATGCTTTAGTGGAAAAGAATAGGCAGCTGTGGGAGCTTTGAGAGGTGCATCAGGGAGGACTTCCTAGAGGAGGTGACACCTAAGCTGAGACCTGAGGCTGGGATAGGAGTTAGCTGGGCAGAAAAGTAAAGGCAATTTCAGAAAAACCTTCTACATCTTGGGAAAGAGTAGGGAATTTCAGTCACTGATTGGTGTGAAGAAGGGATGGGTAACTGGAGTAGATTCATGGTCTAGAGCAGGGGTCCCCATCCTCCAGGATCTAATGCCTGATGATCTGAAGTGGATCTGATGTAATAAACATAGAAATAAAGTGCACAATAAATAAATGCGCTCGAATCATCCTGAAACCACTCCCCCCCCACCCCCCCGGGTCTGTGGAAAATTGTCTTCTATGCAACTGGTCCCTGGTGCCAAAAATGTTGGGGACCACTGTTCTAGAGGATCAAGTGTGGCAAAAGGGGTGCAGAGGAGCAGGAATGGGAGTGGGGAGGCCAGAGAGGAGTCTGCCATTAAGAAGGAGGTTGCCGAGGGGGCGTTTGGGGTTTCACAAATCCTAATTTGAGACTTCCCCGAGATGGCTCAGCGACTGGAAAATCTGTCTGCAGTGCAAGAGACGCAGGAGACACCAGTTCAATCCCTGAGTCAGGAAGATACCCTAGAGAAGGAAATGACAACCTAGTCTAGTACTCTTGCCTGGGAAATCCCATGGACAGAGGAGCCTGGCAGTCTACAGTGCCAAGACGCTGACTCTACTGAGCAACTAAGCAATGAGTGCACACACACACGCACACACACACACACACACAGTCTAACTTGGGCAGATGTGGTGCAAGGGATTGGAGGCAAGATCCTCCTTGGAGACCTGGCTCTCAGAGATGACAGGACCACTAAAGGTGGGGGCCTCCTAGCATCTGTCTGAACCTGAACCTACTGAGCCCCTACTCAGAGGTGGAGACCCTCAGGCAGGTATAGACAGACACAGGGAAGAAAGGACTTGGAGGTTGATGGGAGGTGGGGTGCTTTCTTTTCAAGTCAAGAAAGATTTAATTAGGCTGTTGGATAACTCTGAGGACTGAAAATCGAGGAGATAACTTCCCATGGACTCTAGACACACAATGGGCAAGAGCAGGACCAGGGCAGCCAAGGACAGTCCTGTAGGTTTATTTAGTACATAGCTAGGTCGCTGTGGCAGGTGGCCCTGGGTGGCATGGAACTTGCATCAAGCATCAGGGAAACTTGATCTGAGGGTTGGAGGCTAATTTTTTTCCCTCATAGAGTGTGGTGAGGTTGGCAGAAATACTCACTATACCCAAAGGGACTCAGTCCTTTGTTTCAAAAAATGGTGTTAAATGTGGCCATCATCTATCAATCATAATTATTTTTTTAATTAATTGAACACTTCCCTGATAGCTCAGCTGGTAAAGAATCTGCCTGCAATGCAGGAGACCCCAGGTTGATTCCTGGGTCAGGAAGATCTGCTGGAGAGGGGAGAGGCTACCCATTCCAGTATTCTTGGGCTTCCCTGTGGCTCCGCTGGTAAAGAATCTGCCTGCAATGTGGGAGACCTGGGTTTGATCCCTGGGTTGGGAAGATCCCCTGGAAAAGGGAAAGGCAACCCAATCCAGTATTCTGGCCTGGAGAATTCCATGGGTCCATGGGGTCGCAAAGAGTCAGACACGACTGAGCTACTTTCACTTTCTTTCACTTTACTACGGGCTGGCTCTGGTGCGTGTTTTCATGTCTCAGTTCATTGAATTCCCCCCATCCCTGAGAAGTGGGCATCATTATGTCCACTTTCACTGATGGGAAACTTAAGGCTCAGAAAGAGTAAATGATCAGTACAAGTTCTCATGGTTGACACTGGACAGAGTGGGGGAAATGTCAGAGAATGACAGGGTCAAAGCATTAAGGGCTGGGGGTGGGGGCATGTGATCCAATCTTCTCCAGCCGCACCCTTTCCCAGGCTGTGGAACAGCAAGGCACTGTCTGCCAGCTCATGCAGCATGGTTCTGATTCCCTCACATCTTCCCCTTCACTCTGACTGTGCTGCTCACTTAGATGAAACCACTTATCTCTCTTTTTCAAGGCACCGAATGCAGCACTTCCTGAAGATCAAGCAGGCAGAGAATAGGAGAGGTTTGCCGCACCCAGCCCTCCCTCTAACTGCTTTCTCGCAGTTGGCGGCCTGGTGAACGGGAGCAGCCCATTGAGGCTGGAGGTGAGGGCATCGCATCTCTGCTTCCACTGTCAGCTCTGCAGTGATTTCTGTGGCTGTGGGAACAGCATGTGGGTGACAGCGTGCTGCTGGCTAGAGCTGGTGGTGAATGTTGACCCTAGAGAAGCTGAGAGAAATGGGGGAGAATACTGCTTGTCACTCAGCTGCCACAAGTCAGAGCAGTCTGATACCATCTCTGAACAGTTGACAGCCTCCTCTGGATGATGCCTTATCCAAACAGACTGCTTTTTCCTGGGGTGGCTGGGAGAGAGAGCCCCCTTCTGATTTCACAGCAAGTTCTAGCGGTGAAACAGGAGGCCGGTGTCTGTGCATGCCGAATCGCTTCAGTCGTGTCCGACTCTGTGACCCCATGGACGGTAGCCCACCAGGCTCCTCTGTCCATGGGATTCTCCAGGCAAAAACACTGGAGTGGGTTGCCATGCCCTTCTCCAGGGGATCTTCCCAACCCAGAAATCGAACCTGCATCTCTTATGTCTCCTGCAGAGGCAGGCCGGTTCTTTACCACCAGCACCAGCTGGGAAGCCGAAGTGGGAGGGCTTAGCCTCTATTCTGTGCTGGGCCCTCTTATAGGCACCTTATTTATTTCACTGACCCCTCCTGGTCACCCCCTTATGACTGATACCACCCACATTTTCCTCAGCTGAACATCGAGGTGGGAGGCTTCAACATAATGTCCAAAATCTTGGCAGCAGAGTTGGTGCTCACTTGCTTCTGGCTCATTCTAGGGGGTGTCTGGGGGGTGCGGCCTCATGCAGAGGAGACAGTCTGGAAGTGCAAAAAATGTGTTACAGTCCAACAACAACAAGCAGAGTGCCATCATTTTAGAAAGATCTGTTCTTCATAAAAGCGGTGACTACTTTCCAACTTCAAGTTAAGGGATATTTTTAACATATCTGAGTTTGAAATTTAACCCAACACCACTGAGATTTTTACCCAAAGGTGACAGTTATGCTGGGAGAAAAATAAAACACAAAAACTCTACCTGCCCCCAGATGAGAAGAGGACAGGTGCTGGCTTGCCAAGCGAGGGAGGCAGGTTTAGTGTCATGGGAATTAGCTCCAAGTTGCCACCTAAAGGCGGGGGGTGGGCACAGGGGCCCAGGCCAGGTGTCCATTCCCTGAGGCTGAGAGGTGACATGATGGATGGGACAGGGTGTCGTGGGCCGTCCCTTCAGGCTGCCCTGGCCTTTCACAAATGACCCCCACACTGCCATTCTCCCTAATCCGGTGACTTTCAAATTGTTTATATACATAGTCTTGGGAAAGCCCTAAGTCCTACAAAAACTTTTAAAACATCATATTTTATTTCAATAACATAAAAAATAGATCCTTAACAAGACATCTAAACATATCTTCTCTGTTAAACTGATAATCTACCTTGTTGTAGAATAAGACATTCATTTTGCTGTATCTCAGATTGGGGTTCAAGAGGAATTCTTCAGAATCTCTGAATGATTTTTTTCCTTTAAATGGAATCCACACACAGTTGAGGTTTGAGAAATCTGGCCCTCATATAACACTACACTTCCAAGCCCCCAAGCTCAAATACGATGAACAAATGACCAGGAGAGACCCGGGTAGCCCTGCTCCATGCCCGCAGGCTTTGGCACTGGGGGAATGGAAGAAGATCCATTTGCCGACTTGGCTCTTCTTGCCAACTCTAAGCAAAACCTGGCTTCAAAAATGATGAAACCCACCCCAGTGGCATGGCTGCCAAGCTGGGGGACACAGCAGGGTCCCTGGAGACTCAGCCCACTTTAAATGGGAGTAATTTCCTGACTAACCCCTGATTCTCCTGGAGGTGGCTCCTGGAATATTGCTGAGTTTCCGGTTTGGCCGCTTTGGTCTGAAATGGCAAACATGTGCTTCCGCTTTTGTGTGCACTGTGAGATATGGAGGACTTGGGGTGTTGCCCATGTGTATCTGCAGCCATCACAGCCACTGGCTGGACACAGACCGCTGGGTTTGCATCAGCAACAATAGAAACACAGTAGTAGTGGCAGCCAGTGTTTACCAGGGTCCCACTGTACAATGTTGTCTCATTTTATCCTCCTTCAGAGAAGGTGAGGGTGTTGTCTTCACCCTCTTTATAGATACCAAGGCTTGGACAGGTCAAGTAACTCACTCAAGACCACCCTCTATAAAACTGCATCCACAACCACTTCTCCCAAATTCAAGCTCCATGAAAGGGGTTTGCTGAATACCTACTGTGGGCAGATCCTTTTTCTTGAGTGCAACTGGGGATGACATATCTTGCCATTTAGAATCATGTCCAAACAACAGTCATGTGTTCTATGTGGCTACTGAGCACTTGGGATGTGGCTTGTCCTAACTGAGATGTATTGTGAGTACCAAGAAACTTCAGTGTCAAACACGCTCTGAATTGAAAGATAGTGCAAATCAGAGAATGCAAATCACTTCATTAATATTTTGTATTGATTATATGTTGAAATGATAATATTTTACATACATCGGGTTAAACAAAAGGTATTATTAAAATGAAGTTTGTCTATTTCTTTTTACTTTTTTGGTAAATGTGGCTGCTATTAATGACATTCCATAGGACTCTTGCCCTTTTTCTACCAACAGCACCACCCTTGAGGTTCTTTCTGCTGCTCACACCCACAAGATTTCTGTCTTAATCTAAGGCTGGTTCAGACAGTTCCAGATTTCAGGCTTCTCTGCTTGTGGTGATGAAGAGGACTGGGAGGAAAGAACTGCGTTTTTCCTTCTGCCCTGCAAGAGCAACAAGCAGAGGCCTGTGTGCACAGAAGAAACTTTAGAAGTACAGTCGATTCTTATTATTCATGGCAGTTAATGTCCTAAGGTTGCTTCAGGGGCTTCCCAGGTGGTACTAGTGGTAAAGAACCCGTCTACCAATGCAGAAGACTTAAGAGACGTAGGTTCGATCCCTGAGTCGGGAAGATCCTCTGGAGGAGTACACGGCAGCCAACTCCAGTGTTCTTTTCTGGAGAATCCCATGGACAGAGGAGCCTGACAGGTTACAGTCCATGGGGTCTCACAGAGTCGGACACAAGTGAAGTGACTTAGCACACACTCACAGGCAAGGTTGCTGCAGACAATGAAACAGCAAGTAAGGAAACATTGCTCCTCGGGGAAATATAGGGTTAGGTTTTCATGATCCACTTCTTACAACATTTATGCCAGCTGATCAATACATACTCTTATTTAATGTGTGCTTCTGTTTAAAGGAACTTTACTAATATCTACATACACATGTGTGTGCATGCTTAGTTGATCAGTTGTGTCTGACTCTTTGCAACCCCATGAACTGTAACCCACCAGGCTCCTCTGTCCATGGGATTATCCCAGCAAGAATATTGGAGGGGGTTGTGATTTCCTCCCCCAGGGGATCTTCCCAACCCAGGGTTTGAACCTGTGTCTTCTGCACTGGCAGGTGGATTCTTTACCACTGTGCCATCTGGGAAAACACACGTACAAACAAGTGGGTATATATAGTTGGTATATGTAGTTGATTCGCTAGCATTGAACTCACAGCCACCAGCACTGTAACTCATGCCTGAATGAAGCTTATCTAACACTCCATAAGGCACATGCAGTTTTCTTTAGCTTGGGGGTGCCAGACAGTAACATGCTCGAGGACCTTTTTAAACAGTGAACTCACCACCACCAACAAGCACAAAAACATGAAAAACACAGCACTAAATATGTCACAAAAAGAACATTTATGAACATGAGTCTGGTGACTCAAAATTTTCTCCATTCTGCGCATGTCTGCACATGACCACAAAAGCACCTGCGAATACTGATTTGGGTGCTACAAATAAATTTTATCCAGGAGGTGAATACAGAATCTACAAATAATGAAGATCGATTGTGTTTGTTAATCGAGGTCAGCTCTGACTCTCACCTGCCACTGGCTGCTGATCTTTTGTGCTCAGAATGTACCCTGACAGTCCTGCTTGTGTCCATTTAGCATCAGCACACTCCCCTCCATGATGGACCAGAAGGTGGTGAAGCCTTGAATTCGGAGGAGAGGAGAGCGACTGGAGTCAGCCCTGGACTCACAGTTTGCATATCTCACGGGACTTGGGCAGGACGTGTCACCTCTTCAAGCCTCAGCTCTCCAATCTGTAAAACAGGGGTCATAACAATTTATCTTCCCACCTTGTGAAGATCTAATGAGATGACTTTGCAAAAGTGCTGTGGAAGCAGTAAATAATCCACAGACATACAAGATTTACATGCTTTCTTGATAAGCTTTGAGCTGGGGTTTGAGCTGCTAGGGTTTGAACCCTGAATGGCGCTGACTGCCTACGTGAGCTTGAGTGAGTGACTTAAATCCTGCCCTGTGAGATGACAATGATACTAACATAATATGTATAGGGATGCTATAAGCTTTCAACGAGACATGCGTCTAAAGCACTTTAATTCCCAATGAATAGTGGCTATTCCTACTGTAACAAGTGACTGTGCCCCTCATTTGAGCAGAGTGATGGGTATAGGGGAAGTCAGAGTGAAAACGACAATCACAGAAAACTCACCAATCTGATCACATGGACCACAGCCTTGTCTAACCCAATGAAACTACAAGCCATGCCGTGTAGGGCCACCCAAGATGGATGGGTCATGGCGGAGAGTTCTGACAAAATGTGGTCCACTGGAGAAGGGAATGGCAAACCACTTCAGTATTCTTGCCTTGAGAACCCCATGAACAGTATGAAAAGGCAAGAAGATAGGACACTGAAAGGTGAATTCCCCAGGTCAGTAGGTGCCCAATATGCTACTGGAGATCAGTGGAGAAATAACTCCAGAAAGAATGAAGAGACAGAGCCAAAGCAAAAACAAAACCGAGTTGTGGATGTGACTGGTGATGGAAGTAAAGTCCAGTGCTGTAAAGAGCAATATTGCATAGGAACCTAGAATGTTGGGTCCATGAATCAAGGCAAATTGAAAGTGGTCAAACAGGAGATGGCAATAGTGAACATCGATGTTTTAGGAATCAGTGAACTAAAATGGACTGGAATGGGTGAATTTAACTCAGATGACCATTATATCTACTACTGTGGGCAGGAATCCCTTAGAAGAAATGGAGTAGCCATCATCGTCAGCAAAAGAGTCCAAAATGCAGTACTTGGATGCAATGTCAAGAATGACAGAATGATCTCTATTTGTTTCTGTGGTAAACCATTCAATATCACAGTAATCCAAGCCTGTGCCCTG